TCTCATTTATTGGTTCAGGAATAGTCACTTAACTCAGTGATGTAACTGTCACTGTCTTGTGGTCTAGGACTTCTAGGCAAGGGCACTTTTTTTTTGTTCCGTGGGAACTAATGAAAGATTCTGAAACTTTCCTGAGTGGTACAGTGGAAGGATGTATGATCTGGAACCAGAACAGCTAACAATTTTTTTTTTTAAAGACATGGACCATTTTTAAAGCCTTCATTGAACTTGTTACAATGGTGCTTCTGTTTTATGTTTTGCTTTCTTGGTCGTGAGACACGAGGAATCTTAGCTCCCCGACCAGCGTCCAACCTGCACCCCCTACATTCTAAGGCAAGGTCTTAACCACTGAACCACCAGGGAAGTCCTGACAATTGCTAACAACTTTAGTGCCACACAATGAAGGATAGAGAAAAAGGGAGGGAAAAGGAGAAAGGCTGAGAGCACAGAATGAAAGCAGGAAAGTGAAGAAAGACAAGAAAAAAACAGAGAAAACAGATGCCTAAGTCAGGAGAAGAAGTCCTTGTCAGAAGGAAAGAGAGAGTCCAGAGCCAAAGAGCTAGGGTAGAGGCACAGCATCAAAAAAAAACAAACACCACCAGAGCTTAGCCTGTAGTGGGTTCAGAGAATGAACAGGCTGTCATCACCCACTGCACTACACTTCCGGAGGGCTTCAGCATAAATTACTACCTGCACATCACCGCCTTCAGAAACTCTCTGATACTGCTCATAGCTCAGAGGTTATTCTGAAGTGGCTACAGCAGCAAGGATTCAAGGAAACATGGTCATAGGTTGAAAAGACCTAACAGAATTTACAGATGGAGAAAGAGAAGTCTTAAATAGTTAAAATCCAAATTCTGAAGCATGACATATGAGGTGCAACCACCTTCTGTAACCCTGTCGGGGCACCACAGTGAACTATCTCCACCTCCAACTTTTCCATCCAACTTGGTTGCCTCTTCTGGTAAATAGCAGCGCTGCCTTTCGCTCCAACCTCTGGAGCACAGAGGCTGGGACATAGTGACTGCTCAGTCAACTAGAGCTGAAACAAAAAAACCCCATCATCCCATGACTCTAAATGCTATTTTTCTCAAAATTCTCATATTTCAACAAAAGCACTTATCCATTATGTTAAATTCCATGACAGTTTTCACTCACGGGATCTAAACATGATTAGATATTGATCCAGAAGGACCTACTTGGTTGCACTGTCTTACTCCAGCTCTTGGCAGGCTTTGGGAAAGTAGGGGCAGTCTCACTATTTGTTCCCTTATTACTGAGTGTTCTTCTGCTTCCCCTGCCTCTTACTCAATTTGCCTTCTCCTCTTTAGCTTCAGCAAAGGAAAGCTGAAGCTTGCCTGTCTCTCAATGCCAAAGCTTTTCCTTCATTAAGCAGGGAAAAGAGAACCAGCCAGGATGTCAGAGACCAGAGGTCTTGCTGTGACTCAGCTGTTCAAGCGGGTCAACCTCTCTTAGCCTCAGTTTTCTTATAAGTGAAATGAAAACAGAAATTCCTCATCTACCTATCTCCCTCAAATGATGATTATGAGGGTTCAATAAAATAGTAGGTATGCAAGTGCAAAGCTGAAAATAAGGCATAAAAGATTTTTATTGTTAAAGGGTAGTTAATGACATTGGCCAAGATATGAAAACAAAATAAGTGTCCATCAATGAATCTCACTTATATGTGGAATCTAAATTATTTTTTTAATTTAAAAAAATACCAAGCTCATATATATAGATTGATGGATGAATTGAGGGGCAGGGGGTGTGCAAAATGGGTGAAAGGGGTCAAAAGGCATAAACTCGCAATAATAAAAATTAAAAGTTAAGGAGATATAAAGTACAGCATGGTGACTCTATTGCACATTTGATAGTTGCTAAAAGAGTATATCTTAAAAGTTATCACAAGAAAAATGTATTTGTAACTTTATATAGTGATGGAAGCTAACTAGACTTATTATGATGACCTTGTCACAATATATACAAATACTAGATCATTATGTTTACACTGAAACTAATATATGTTCTATGTCAGTTATAAAAAGATAGCTAATGAGTCTTAAATACACTAGTGATTTTAGCAACCTTTGACTGGGTTACCTGTAACACATTAGGCTAAATCACTGCTACTGTGTTTGCCAAAAGCAAATCATTTCATCATTAGCTGTTTATCAAGTACTTATCCTAAGTCAATCATTCACTACTTTTTTCTAATTTTCCCTAGAAAATGGAAGGTATATGAGGCATGCCCACTGGTAACTGGTTCTCTGACATATCTCCAAAGATTGGTAGACCTGCTATTTGACAAATACTTGGGCTTTGAGGAGGCCACAAACATAAATAAAAACGAACATTATTCCTGCACACTTGGAACTTACAGCCTCAAGGAGCAACGCAAACAACAAATTTAGACACACACTCTAAGTATGCGTTAGTCTACACTTACTGTACTCTCACTTTGAAACAGCCCCACCAGTGACTTCACCTTCATTCCCACCCCCAGGGAAGCACACACCTCCAGACTGAGAATCACTGTGTTAGGTGTCAGAAGAGAATTTAACTCTATAACACTCTACAAGAAATTTTTTTCCCAAGTTAAGAGTTGACATACTATAAGAAAAGCAGTCCAGGTAGAGATCAGGAAACCTAAGTAGAACCTCAAATACAGAACCAGCAGCATAATTTGTCAGTACTGAGGCAAAATGAAAAATGCAGGGCCTCTCATTCAAAAACTATGACAGATAGCTAGTGGGAAGCTGCTCTAAAGCACAGGGAGCCCAGTTCAGTGCTCAGTGATCACCTAAGCTGCAGGTTGGTGAGGGGAGGCCCAAGAGGGAGAGGATATATATACATATACACACACACACACACACACACATATAGCTGATTCACTTTGTTGTATACCAGAAATTAACACAACATTATGAAGCAATTATATTCCAATTTTAAAAATTATTAAGAATTTCAAGGCAGTCACAGCAGAGCATTTAAATTAAGCCCAGTGCCTTCTGTGACTACAAAGGTCACAAACCCATGAAACCTGCATGGATTCCATATTTACTGGGTGTGCAACTTTTATGCAGGGACTTAACCTATGTCAGGTTCCTTGCAGCTATAAAATTAAGGGAGGGAAGACAAGACTTTCAACTTCATTCCATACCTAACCTCTGCCTCTCTGTTAAGGAGACAGATCATTCATTTGGAGAGAGTTCTTTCATCCTTTTATATAACCATTAAAACTCTGACTGTGACTCAAAGCTAGTAATGAAAACCCATTTATAGTATTTATCTTCAACCATATTAATATTTCTTGCCTCTATATACCACCTTAATTTTGTCTAAAAGAAAACAAAAAGTCTACAAACCAGAGTTCCAAGTTTACTATTTTCCCATGTATGCCATTTAAATCTGAAATTCTCAACAGAGGTTTCTATGAAGCATTTTTTCCCTCACTAAAATGTCTCCTTGCACAAATTAGATAATTTCTTTTTTTCCTCTGCCTTAAAAATTATTCAGAAGCAACCTCCACTTACGGTACAACATCTAGGTCTCATCCAGTGAAAAGTAGGCAAAATGTCAATTTGAGAGAGAGTTAAATAACCCTTTTATTCCACCTGTTTAGTGCTTAGCGCTTAGCATAACATAACTGACAGCAATACAAACCAAGTGCTCTTAATCTGGAGCTTATGGAAAGAATTTTGGGAAGTAATTAACTTCAATGGAAAAAACTGCACCTTTATTTTCATTAACCTCTAACTTAAATTTAGTGTTTTATTCCATTATGAACGTTAAGCATCAAACCACAGGAGTATGTTGCTGTTGTTCAGTCGCTCAGTCGTGTCCGACTCCTTGCAACCCTATGGACTGCAGCACGCCAGGCTTTCCTGTCCTTCACCATCTCCTGGAGCTTGCTCAAACTCATGTCCATTGAGTCAGTGATGCCATCCAACCAACTCATCCTCTGTCGTCCCCTTCTCCTCCTGCCTTCACGCTTTCCTAGCATCAGGGTCTTTCTAATGGGTCAGGTCTTCACATCAGGTGGCCAAAGTGCTGGAGCTTCAGCTTCAGCATCAGTCCTTCCAATGAATATTCAGGACTGATTTCCTTTAGGATGGACTGGTTTGATCTTGCAGTGCAAGGGACTCTCAAGAGTCTTCTCTAACACCACATTTCAAAAGCATCAATTCTTCGGCACTCAGCCTTCTTTAGGGTCCAACTTTCACATCCATACATGACAACTGGAAAAACCACAGCTTTGACTGCATGAACCTTTGTTGGTAAATTTAGCATTTTATTCCACCATGAAAATAGGCAACAAACCACAGGAGTATGAGCAGTGCCTAAGTATGACTTGATTACCAGTAAATATTAAGCACATTTTCTTATCATATTATAGTTACTTCAGTCACTACTTTAAAATTGCAATGGTTATTGAATCCTCTAATAGATATTCTATTTTAATGTATTAATGAAAAATCATATGTACTATTATAACACAATTTGGCTTTTACATTGAAATAACTGTATTTCAATATAATTGGCTTCCTTTGTAATTCTAAATATCTCATTCTATGCATTCAAAAACATAATTCTGAGGAAAGGTCTACAGACTTCACCAGACTACCCAAATGGTCTATGGTACAAAAATAGTAACAGACCTAACAAAAACAGTCTTTAGAATTCTAGTTCAAAATAGTAACAGACCTAATAAAATAGGTAACAGACCTATTTCTCAAAATAAAAACCATCTAGAATTCTAGTTCAACAGCAATATCTACATTACAACAAACTTTTTGTGGTCCAATTATTTTAATATTACAACATCAAGGACACAAAAACAGAACAGCTTTTGCTGTTATTGGTTTTTTTGGAAGGGAGGAGCAGTTTCTCCTGTTTTGTTTTTTGTTTTTGCACATGACCAAAGGATTTGATATGAAAACGTATAACACAGATACATGTTTTTACTCCATTATCTGAAATGTTATTTGGATTGGTACCTGTGATGACAGTAGGTTACAATCAATGAACAGTCCTTTTCCGGTTTTATATCTGTGTATCAATCCAGTCATAATGGCTCCATAGGCATAAAGGCCAGTGGCAAGATCAGTCATGGCCACTCCTGGACGAACTGGATCTCCATCCTGATTTGAGAGTTGGGTTAAGGAAAACACAAATTGAAAATTAAAACCATCATATAAGTTCACAAATATTCTAAGGTCAAATAAAAGAAAGAATTGTATATCATGCGCACATACACACAAAAGAAATACAACAAACTGCTATTGTGGATATTTGTTCGTGGCAAGAATGTATTTATATTTACTGTAAATTTATCATATTTCTCAACCCACCCCCTACTAACCAAACTAAATAAAACCAAATGAAATAAAAGCTTCCCACTGTAAAAGATATTAAGAGGGAACTTCAGGCATGTTTTAAAAAATATTTTATTACATTTGGTTTTGTTTAGTTTGGTTGGTAGAGGGTGGATTGAGAAATATGATAAATATACTGTAAATATATTACTTATAATTTCAAGGATTCAAGCAATCAAAAGGCACAGGAGAAGCAGAAGGAGCTTCTAGACATTGAGAGAAGCCCTCATAATGACAAAATATTTAAGTAAGGTTTGAATACTAATTAACATCTTCAATTTATGTCAGTCTTAGTTGACAATCCAATCCTTGATCCATATGTAAAGATATCAGAATAGTACCAGGCAAAAGACACTTGCTCCTTGGAAGAAAAGCTATGATAATCATGAAAGTGAAAGTCACTCAGTTGTGTCCAACTCTTTGCTACCCCATGGACTATACAGTCCAGGGAATTCTCCAGGTCAGAATACTGGAATGGGTAGCCTTTCCCTTCTCCAGGGGATCTTCCCAACCCAGGGGTTGANTAAAACCTACATTTCACAGTTCACCTGGTTGACACATTCATTCATTCACCTTCTTATTCATTAATTCCAGCTGTTGTTCAGTCATTTTCAGAAGTTAATTTTTCCTTTTCTGAAGTCTATACACAAACTGTGCTAATCATCTTACAAGACAGCTGAATAGGTCAAAAGCAAGTAAGTGAGACTAAATGGCAACCCACTCCAGTATTCTTGCCTGGGAAATCCCATGGACAGAGGAGCCTGATGGGCTACAGTCTATGGGGTTGCAAAAGAGTCAGACACAACTTAATGAAGAAACAACAAGTGTTTTTTCCCCTGCTTCCCAACACAATTTCAAGGAAGATAGTGCTACAAAAACTGGAAATTTCTGGGAATCTTCTATTATTACTGGCAAAACTTGTAATGGCATGAATCCATAAATTTAAAATTAATACCATTATTTGGATTTAAGACTTTAATATATTAAAAGTGAGAGGTGAGTTCAAACTTAAGTTTACAGACATCACCTGCTTTCTCACTATCACATTAATACGATCACATTTTCTCTGCCATACTTCTCAGACAAATAGGGACAAAAAGGATAACAAATCCTTTATATTATATTTTAAATTTCCTGAGAAGCAGAGATTATACCTCATATTCTAAAAACATCATTGCATTATCCAGCATAATGGTGAGATGTTTGACCATTAAATAAACATTGTCATCCATATATTAAGAAACAAAATTGCCACTGTTGAAAAATGACAATTTGTGCCAAATAAATTTAATGAAATACTAATTTAAAGAGGCTTGCTCTCTGTGAAGACCTAGGGTGGTGGATGGAGGGGAGAGAGGTTCCAGAGGGAGGGGTATGTGTGTGCACACAGCTGATTCACACTGTCGTACAGCGGAAACTAACACAACATTGTAAAGCAATTATAACCCAGTTTTTTTTTAAGAGTTTTGTTGCCCCCCGGCGGAGAGGTCACGGCGTGAGGCCGCCACCGCGATCGCCGCGAGGTCGGAGTGCCGGGCGGCATCGTGGCCTACTGCGGGCAGGAAGGGAAGGATCGAACCATATTTGTGACCAAAGAAGACCACGAGACTCCAAGCAACGCAGAGCTGGTGGCCGACGACCCCAATGATCCGTACGCGGAGCATGGACTGATCCTGCCAAATGGAGATATCAACTGGAACTGCCCATGGCTTGGGGGGATGGCCAGTGGCCGGTGCAGGGAACAGTTCAAAGCGGCCTTTCCTGCTTCCACTACAGCAAGGAGGATGTCAAGGGGTCAGACTGTGTGGACCAGTTCCGGGTCATGCAGGAGTGCATGCAGAAGTACCCAGACCTCTACCCCCAGGAAGAGGAGGAGAAGGAGGAGGAGGAGAAGCCAGCAGATCCCTTACAGGAAGCAGCTGCCTCCGAGGCCAGTGCAACCAAAGGGGCAGCGCATCGAGCTAATGATGGCCGGGGCACTGGGCTCCAGCCGCCTTCAGAGACCAGACGAACCTCTCCAAGAAAGTGTCTTTTCCCTCCGTTGTTCTGTGCACTGTAACGTACAAAATAAGTTATTGTGTTGATTGGGGGTCTTGGCCCCTTGCTGTATATACACTGAAAAATGGGGCTGTATGTATGTGTGTCTCACATGAACCTGCTGGTGAATGTAGCTGCCACTTTTGAGTCCTCAGATTGTCCTGAATTTTGCCACTTGGAAATAACGCAGAGCTGAATCATCTCAGCAACCAGAAATCAAAAAAATAAAATAAAATAAAAGAGTTTTGTTTTTAAGTAAAGAAACTTGCAGACACTTTTTAGATTCAAAGATATGAATAGGCTGAAAATAAAAGCATGGGAATGGATATATCATGCAAACACACATAAGAATGCTGGAGTGACTATATGAATATCAGACTAAATGGGCTTTAAAAGAAACAAAAAGAAAGCTACCAGAGAAAAACAGAGAGAATTTATAGTTAAAAAAGGATCAATGCATGAAGAAGTATAACAAAAGCATACATGCACCCAAAAATTGAACCACCAAAATACAAAAAACAAAAGCTACAGATTGGAAGAGAGAAATAAACCCTTCAAGAACACTAGTAGGGATGTCAAAACTGAAATATGAATAGTGAACAATGCAACTAGACAGAGGATTAGAAAGAGAAATAAAAAATTTAAACAATACTATAAACCAGGTATATCTAATAGATATAAAATGCACATTCTCAAGTGCACATGGAATATTCTCTAGGACAGACCATATCCTAGACCATAAGACAAGCTAAAATAAATTTTAAGTGAGTGAGTTCATACAAAATATGCTCTCAGATCACAATGAAATGAATTTAAGAGTCAATAACAGGCATATTTGAGAAACTCAAAACTATGTGGACAGTAAACAATGTACTCCCAAAACACCAGTAACAGACGAAATCATATAAGAAATTAGAAAATACTTCAAGATGAATGAAAATAAAGGCACAACATACCAGTATTTATGGATGCAGCTTAAGCAATATTTGAAAGAAATTTAGAATTGTAAATACCAATATAAAAAAAGAAGAAAGATCTCAAATCAGTTACCTAGTTTTCTACCTTAACACATCAGAAAGAGCAAACTAAACTAAAGCAAGCAAAAGGAAGGAAATAATACACATTAGAACAAAAATAATGAAATGCAGAATAGAATCCCAATAGAGAAAATCAACAAAACAGACAGTTGGCTCTTTAAAAAGATCAGTAAAACTGATGAACTTTTAGCTGAATCGTCCAAGAAAAAAGGAGACTATTCAAATTACTAACATCAGGAATGACAGAAGGACATCACTAACAACTTGCAGAAATAAAAAGTATTATATGGAAATAAAATGAAAAATTATACACTGACAATTTTCATAGACTAGATGAAATGGACAAACTCCTAAAAAGATATAAACTACTGAAACTGACTAAAGAATAAATAGGAAAAAAGGAAATCAATCCTGAATATTCAATGGAAGGACTGATGGTGAAGCTGCAGCCCCAATACTTTGGCCACCTGATGTGAAGAGCCGACTCATAGGAAAAGATCTTGATGCTGGGAAAAACTGAAGGCAAAAGGAGAAAGAGGCAGCAGTGGATGAGATGGTTAGATAGTATCACTGACTCAATGGACATGAATCTGAGCAAACTCAGGGATATGGTGAAGGACAGGGAAGCCTGGCATGTTTGCAGTCAATGGGGTCACAAAGAGGTGGACACAACTTAGCGACTGAACTACAACAGTCAACATAAGCATAAAACTCAAAACCCTTCATGATAAAATATGCAACACCAAAACACTAGGAATAGAAGAAGATTCTTCAAGCCCTTAAAGGGTAAATGTGAAGAAAAGGTTAAGTCACAGTTAAAGGTGAAAGACCGAATATTTGTCCTCATTAGTAACAAGATGAGGATGTCTGCTCTTATCACTTCAATGATAATCAAACATTATGCTGTAGGTTTTAACCAGTGCAGTTAGGGAAGAAAAAGAAAAAAAAAAAAGAAAAGACTGGAAAGAAAGAAATAAAACTAACTTTATTTGCAGGTGACATACTTATTTACACAGAAAATCCAAAGGAAGCCACTAAGAAAATTCTTAGAACAAATAAGTGAGTTTAGCAAGTTTGCAAGATATAAGGCACCATAGAGAAATTAATCTTTTTTCTACACAGTAAAGAATAAATAAACCAAAAATGAAATTAATAAGCAATTTCATTTACAATAGCATCAAGAAAAATAAAATATGAATACATTTAACAAAAAAAATACAAACATATTCTGAAAGCTACAAAATATGGTTGAAAGAAATTAAAGATCTAAATAAATGGAAAGACACCTCACTGTCATGATTCAAAAGATTCAAAATTGTTAATATTGCAATACTCCCCAAATTGATCTACAGATTTAGTGCAATTTCACCTATCAAAATCCTAGGTGTCTTTTTCTGCAGAAAGTAATTAATATGGAAATCTCAGGGACAAAGAATAGCCAAAACAATCTAGAAAAAGAAGAACAGAGTTGGAGGACACACACTTCCCATTTTAAAACTTACTGCAAAGCTATTGTAAGCAAGACAGCATGGATGGCACAGGCAGAAACACAGACGATGGAAACTCTCACCTTCAACTTTGACAAGCATACTAGGTATAATTCAGAAACTGTCCTCAAGAAATGGTGAAAAGAATGAAGTAGGACTCCCTCCTCACACTACGTATAAAGTGAAAGTGAAAGCTGCTCAGTCC